TACTTAGGAGTATATAGTCCTACGTACCTCGACCTGTATCTGCAGTTTTTCGATAGCTTGCAACTGAGCTCATTACTTTGCCTCGATCCTTGTCTTCTCTCTGTGCGAACAACCTTAGGGACTCGCCAGTAGACAAGACCTTTGTCAGATCTTTGCAATAGACTCAGCCATAGGGGTTACGATACGTTTGGCCCGTAGACTCCCACCTCGCGCGCTTCGTGCCTATTCCATTTGAAGAAGTCACCGTGCTCGGGCATAACACATCCTAGGTCCTCACTCACTCCACACCAACTCTGCCCACCCCCTGACATTTACAAGTCATCTCCACTCTGACTACTGTCAGACTTGTACTGCTCTCCTACTGGACCATGCAGACCATTCTCTGAGGAGTCATGTGACTACCCTTCAGACTTCTCCCTGACAGCATGCAGTCAGGTACTCTGCAGCATGCACACTGCATGGTCCAGCACCTGGACTGTTGCCTTTTTGAGGTGTACTATGTTACCTGTTCATATGTCCTCTGTCTACCCTTCATTCATCATCTAGGAAGTTTTACTTGAAGTTTTACAAGTCTCTGTATGTCAGTTCTGATTCTGATTACTGTACCTCTGTAGTAGTATAAAAGCATGTATTGTACTCTCTTCAGTATGAATATCAACTTAGTTCCTACTCCCTCTGTCTCTGTCTCCTGCATGTTGGAGTTACCTCTGACCTTCCATCTGTACTCTCCCTCTGAAATATGAGGGCTGAGATTGTGCAAGGGGGTAGCACATGAGCTAAACCTGACACCCTCACTCTGCTCCACCTTTGTCTTGGTGGACTTCACTCCTGCCAACACTCTGCCAGTCAGAGTTCTGCTCTCTTGTGTCAGACTTGCTTCTGAACCTCTCCCCAGACCTCATCTAGCACCAGAGTTGGTTGGAGTAGGCCCAGACTTGACAGGGATGGGATGTCCCACAGTAGTCTCTGAAGCTATCATGGTCATGGGACATCCCACTGGCCTCCAGAGAGGGGGGCTGAGATGCATCTAGTATGTATGATCTTAGTAAGGAACACTCTTGCAGTAAAACAGGGAATGTACATACATAAGCACTCATGGGAGAGGTCTGAATCCATTAACATTCATTACAATAATGCAATTCTCACTGCCATAGGCATTGTATGAGTCAGGAAATGACACCACACACAAACACACTGATTGCTCAGTATTCTTCAAATCTGTGCATAATACATAAGTTGTATTACATGGTTTTGGAATGGCAGTGACTCTCACATATCCCCCTACTTTGACAGGTGTGCTCATCATCCTGGATGATCATGACAGCTATGTATGTTTTTCTGATCAGAAGTGGCATTTCAATGTGAATATGAACTGCACTTTTTTGAGCTGAGGACCCCTGACACCTAAGGCAGTCATGGGGCAGCCCAAAATATATTACCAAATGGCTGGGATTATGGGACATCCCAGGTCCTGCAGACTGTAAATAGCCCTGGGACATGGCCAGATGTCCTTGGGATGACCTGGTCTGAGTGGCTTTTAGCTTGGATGATTTGGAGAAAAACTTCAGCCTAAATGCTTATGAAAATGGGTTACCTGAAGTGTCATGGTCAGGTTTCTCTTCATCCTTTCCCTTTCCCTTTGACTTACTGGCTCCACTGGGAGAGCCTCTGGGCCTTGTCAATGTACTGAGAAACCTTGGTGTGGACACAGTTGGAGAGGGCAGGAGACAGGGGGCAACAGGGTGTCCCATTGCAAGACACTGGTTGTGGCATCTGACTCAGGAAGGCAGGTGTCAGATGATGGGGGAGGGGATGAACTATAGACAGTGATGGGGGGCATGAGTAACTTGGGCCAGTCATTTGTGGGGTTGTCAAGGGATTTGTTTGGGAGGTCAACATAGTCATTCTCTGTGTTTACTGAGCAAGGAGAGTCCATAGAGTACAAGAGGGATTTAATTTCTGAGGTGTTGAGCAAGCTTGTGCTGATTGAGGGCTTCTGAGGCATGGTCTTTTATGTGTTTCTCAGGCTCCCACATATTTGATGAATGGGGGAACCCTTTCCACTTGATCAGATACTTGCACTGTCCATGATGACCATCAGTTTTGTGATTAATGATGGACTCTACCTCCCATTCTATTTCATCATTGACCAGTTCAGGTAAAGGGGCTGTGGGCACAGCACCATATGTATTATTTTCAATGAAAGGGAAGATGTACAATGTGTGAAACACTAGGTGGACCTTCCAGGTTGGAGGGAGCTCCAATTGGAAGGCAACAAGTGATACAGCCTGAGTCACTTTGAAAGGTCCAAGATGTCAGGGCACAATCTTGTTGCACTGTTTTCTGATCCTAAGATGTCCAGTATCAAGGAGAACTTGATCCCTGACTTTAGGCTCTTGGTTTTTCTTGGCAGTTTGGTATAAAGTTCTTTCCATTTTGGTCTAGGCAGTGTGCCAGGACCACAGAATCATGGATACCAGTCTTTTAGATCAATGGATTTGAAGATTTCAAAGTCAAGTGGTGGAAAGTAATGATAGGAGAAAAGTTCCCATAACATATCATGTAAAGGTTTATCCACAACAAAGCCCAAATAAGGACATTGCAGTGAATATGGGAATGGAGGAGTCTTCCTGTTTTTTGTACCAATAAATGGAGCTGCAATCAAAGTAAACATTTCAAATCCAAGCTTCCATCTACTTTCTACCACATTATGTTTCCCTAGCTCTCAACCTCCTGATGCATATGGAGTTGGAAATGTTCCTGGGAGAGGATAAACTCTCTTTGACCAGGTTAGCATGCATATGCCTCTGCAAATTCTGATGATATAGTCCCTGATTTGATATCTTTCCTGGAAGTTCACTAGGCTTTTCCATCTAATGGCTGAGTTCAGCCAAAACCAATGCTTTTGAAGGCCAGTAAGTGAATCTTCAGAGAGAGGTGGCATCAAGCTACCAAAGATGACCTGTAGAGGCTTCATATCCAACCCTTGATTCATCCAAATATCCCCACTCCTTAATTTCTCCCACTTTGAATAACATGTCCACATTGAGTGACTGAGAGTTTCTCTTTCATACTCAGAGAGCTCCCAGTATGATACAAATGCCAACACCCCCATTAACCCAAGCTCCTCAGAAATGATGTTCAAGATACTTGTTCCAAAGATGGAGAGGAGGGATGAGCCCATGGAAGATGTTTGAGTCATAGTAGGGATGGGTGTGGTTGACAATGTGGACATATCAGTTATGGGTGATTGTATCTGCTGGTATGGTGTACAAGGCAAAATCTTCATACTGTAAGGAGGGTAAGTCACAGCCATTAAAATATGTGATAGTGTTGGGAGTAGAGTTCCAGGGCAGCTTTGGAGCAAAGTTGATGAAATGCCCATGGAATTGGACATGAATGGGTAGATAAAAGAAAGGGTCATAATTGCTGTCATCAGGGATACATGGCCAAGTGGGGAAGTCAGCCTAGATTCAGGTGACAGTGTCCATAGGGACATGAGCATGAGACATAGGTGGCTGGAGGCAGAAAGAGCATGAGGTAGGGTAGTCTTCAACCTAAGATCCAAAATTCTCAACATAAATCCCATCTATAAAATCAACAGCTTTTTTCACAAAATTCCTCCTCCATTTGTGCAACAACCTTTCATCATACATTTCAGCAAGATGAAGTTCAGTGACACAAGATTGAGAGTAAGACATTCTGAGAGAAGATGAAAAGGTGAGAAATGCTGAGTCTAGAAGAAGGAAGACACAAAGTTAAGGATATATTAACAATTTGAATTCTGTGGCATTTATATTGGCAAGTTTGATCTCAGTGACAACTGCCTCCATGGCAGCAAGAGCATCATAGACCTCCTGAACTATTTCTGGTTTGGGAGTGGACATCTGCACAGGTTCCAGTTCTGCAGTATAAGGTGGAACAGGATCTAGATCAGCTTCATCATCTCAATCAGGAATGGCATGAAGAAGATAGTGTGGCAGCTGTTCCAGAGGATTCAGAAGCATAGCTGGCACCTTGTGTCATGGAAGGTCAGGAACATCATCTGGTAGTTCTATGATTTGTTCCAGAATGACAGGTTCAGGAGGAACAAGCTGTCAAAGATTCTTGAGTCTTCTGTACATGCTGATGAGCTTGAGAACCTCAGTGAGATGTTGATATTCTTCATTGAGTTGTTGAGTGCAACCAGGGAGCCAATTTTGGTAGATCTGGTACCACATGGGAAGTCCCAATGCTGTAGCCCAATAAAGGGTTGAGGCAAGGAATTCCAAGTGGAAATCAGTAACAATACTGAACCATGTAAAATATACTGCCTGATAAAACCTGCAAAGAAGCAAAACAAAGAAAGTGGCCATTGCCCAACTGAGTGCTTCTAGGCTGTCTAAAGGCATACTAATATAGTTGTCACCAGTGATTAGATATGTCCTTAAGACCAAGCAACCAACTAGAAGTTGGGGCTCATAACCTATTGCACAGAGGACTAATCATGGGGAAGGCAGGTGAACACTTGCCTTTTATACTAGCAGTTGGGTGAAAGACTTGAAAGAGTTTAGTAGTTTGTAAGAGTTGGAGGACTTGAATAGAGATTGAATTCACTGAGGATATAGCACCTCAGGTGAGCTGTATATATACTACAGGAGTGCACATGGACCATGTCTGTGCAGCTACAGTAAAACTACCATAAGGGGGTTGTACCTGCTATACTTAGTAAAGAACAAAATGGAACATGATAGAATAAGTGAAGTCATGGATGACATGCTAGGTCACATGACAATAGCCAGTATAGGTGGAGAATCATATGTAAGTGATACTAACCAGTAGTTGGTAAGTTCATAAACTTCCAACAACATTGAATAGAATACTTATGCAGTAGAGTTCTGGGACATATCTGCCTCATCAGCAGCATGGTCAGCAGTACTCCAGGATAGGGTTCCATTGGGCAGTTCAAGCTCATAACCATGCTCTGATGCATTTTGTGTTAGTGTTCATGGGTTACCATTTTACAGGCACACATGTTTGACATTGCCTGGTGAAGCCATAGGAGGTAAGCCAGCCATGGCAATCTTTTCCCTGACAGGATCAATGACCTCCATTGGCAGTAGTGCAGTCAAGAAGTTCCAAGTTAGAGACATGATTCCCAAGATGGACTTATCCTGAACAGCCAGCTCCTTGCCCTCAAGTTTCTTGTTCATAACATTACAGACCAGCCCAAAGACATGAGCATGGCAGGGACCAGCATTCCACCCATATTGAATCAGTTTTCCTCCATGGGTTAGCTAACAACATTTAGTAATAGAGTCAAAACAGAGGACACCAACCATACCCAGACACCCCTTTGGTTGTGCACAACATCCTCAATCACAGTGTTCACATGGTCAATGAGATCAGGATGCAGGATACAACAGCCTCAGATGACAACAAGTTCAATATCACCTGTTACAAGATGAAATAAATACTGGCTTGTGAGATGCTAACTTACCAGTGAAGTTTACAAAGGCAACACTGGCATGCTCTTTGACCACATATGTACCAAGTGTTATCAGCAGGGACAATAAGGACTTTCTCACCAGCTAGTACTTGACTATCCAGTTGGAGGCTAGTGATCATGGTTTTTCCTGCTTTACCAGATCAAACCTCAGCTTCTTGGCTGCCATTGCATTGGGTGGCTGAGTGTACTGCATGCTTTGGCTTGCTATGCAGCAACTCAGAGGTGCTCTACAACAAGCAATGGGACAGTGAGTGCATACTTTTCTGCATCTTTCATTGGTTGGTTACCTTCTGCAGTGAGGCATTGGAGGTGAATCATATAGATCCAATTGAAAACACCCACCTATCAAGGACCTGGATGACCATGAAAACAGCCAAAGGTTGAGCTACTGCATGCTGCCATGGCTCCTGGATGTGTATTACAGTCTCAAAGCTAGCAAGGCTCATAGGTATCCACCATAACACACTGCACCATTATCTCAAGAAGTACAGGGTTGATTACCAGCACACCCTGATCACTTATGGTGAGCCAGATCTTTTGATCCACTATTTTTGCCATCTTAAACCACAATCTGGGCTTCACTATCTAGCTGGATCTCTCAGTTGACATGGGTTACACATTCAATGACACTGAATTGCCTCTCCTCTCCAATGTGTTGACCCTCTTGGCCAAGTGTTATGACAGCAGGCTACTATCCATCACCACCAGTACCAAGTCTCATGCCCTAATGCTCTCTGGCAATATGGATGGATACCATAAACTTATCCATTGGAGTATTGTAATCCATAGTATCATTGATGGCTATTCCCAAACTGTGTTTTCTTGGCCATTGACTTTGCAGCTCCAGCACTGGACTGACTGTGCTTAGGATTGTTGGTCTTAAGGCTCATACCAACAACATGCACATACAGTTTTGGATACCTTTTTTCAAGCAGTCAGGCAATATGGCCTGCCATCACAGGTTTGTGGTGATAGATGGGGTGAGAATAGAGATGTATCTGTGTTCATGATCATGGCTTGAGGTCCTAACAGAGCCAGTTTCATGTGGGGAATGTGTGCCACTCTTACATCTATCAGCCACAATGCATTAACCCATCTATAGCTCTACCCATAACACTCACATTGAGAGGGCATGAGTGGAAGTGGGTCAGCAATTTGGGTGATCCTGGAGAGCTTTCTTCCTCCATCTTGAAAGGCTCCACCACTTTGATAGGTCAGATCCCAATCATCTCTGGCTTTTGCATCACCTTTTCTTGGATGAAATCAATGCTGATTGCACCACCTTCTGTGAGGAGTGGAATGCCCATCCAATCTCAGGAGAAGGGCATGATCAAAGTCCACATGTCTGTGGTGCATTTACACTGTAATCAAACCATGTTATTTATCACACAGGATCTGCACTTCACAGGCCAGCTTGAACATGGCATGTAGGATGATGTGATTGCCATCCACCCAAATGTTTATGCACACTATGGTGTGGAACATAGCCAGGGCCAGGATGATGCAGACTGGGTGGACATTGGAGAGGATGGTAATGAAGTCCCTGGCCTACCCTCCAGGATTGCTGCAGAACAATCTTCCCAATTCCTGCATGAGGCTGCACCAGTACCTGCATACACCAATCCTTTTACAGCTGTTGCATTAACAGCTATCATTGGGGCTTTGGATCAAGTTCAACAACTGCACCATATACCTACTTGGTTGGGTGTTAGAGAAGAGGAATGGGACCATAATGGATATCCAGAACTTGAAATTATTTGGTCAGGTTGTTGGGGAAAGAAGGAGATTGCAACTGAACTACCACATTCTCTCTGGTATGGATGAGCTGTACACCAGTGCCAGGCTTTAGAGGTATTCAACCAAACCATAGCCTTGTTCAATGAGACCATGTAGCAGGATGCCACAGCCAGTGCTTTCAATGTACTTGTGAATTTTGTGTACCCCCTGCCTAAAAGTGTGGGAACAGTCTATTACACCAAGTCAATTTTTGTAGTATGCTGCCATCCTGTTCCTCCTCCACTGACCATATTTCCAAGTTTCAACTGCTGTCATTCCTTTGCACTCTCCTTTCTCTATTTCATTCCTTTCTCCTCCTGATATCTTTTAACATGGTCAAGTAATTGCAAAAGTGAAAAGTCATCTCTTCTGATGATGAGTCTGAGTCCTCTTTTCCACAACCTTCACAGAAACCAGCCTCAAATTCTATTGTTGATTCTGTTCTTCATTCCATATTCTCACAACCACCATCTACCTCCAACTATTCCTACCTGCCAACCAAGACCCAGCCTTCTACATTGGCAAAGGCTTCCATCCACCAAGCACATGCTGAAGCAAACAAGGGTTTGAAAGGAAAGTTAAGGTCAACAAGCTACAGGCAGACCTTCAGGAAGGAAGGTGAAACAGAAAAGGTGAGTCCTATCAACCCACTATCTCCAAAGTAGCTACTTTAACATTACTCACCTGTGTCAGGGTCATCATGGTCATCCAAGAGCCCTGGACTTTCTCATAGCTCATATTGTTTTCCTGCCATATGGAGTGGATATGGTGAGATTTGCATCCCCATTTTACCTGCATTTTTATGTTGAGTTCTTGCAGCCCAGCCTTGATGAGGATTCAGATGCAAGTGAGCCTACACTGGCAAACTTGTTTCCAGTGATATGACAACCAACTGCCCTCACAAGTGCTCAGCTGAGCAGGCTTGAAGCTGCAGGTTTAGCTCACTCCAACTTTCATTCATACTTTACATTCAATCAGGAGTGGAGTTGGACACAAGTTGATGACATGCTTCATGGTGAATTCCCTCATCTATTTGAAGTTCTTGATACCCAGCTGAAGGTAAGGTCACACTGATAGCACATACTTACTGATTTGCCACCACTGCTTTCTAGGTGTTCAATGTGAGTTATAATATGAGTGGAATGGTTGGTAGGCAATACAAGTACCTGCCCCCATGTCTACTCTGCCTTCACAGTCACAAGGAGGTTGTTGTGGCAGGAGGAGTAGAGCTTCCTGATGGGGAAGTCCTCTTCCAAAAGCTGAAGGCTGGCAAATGACCTTCTAGGGATGAGTCAGAAATTATCTTTGGTAAGATGCTTGAGACTTGGTGTGGTGTGTGAGCTAACCTATATTCCAAGTTACTCATAATGAGATACCATTCAAGCTCATCATCCAATGGGTTAAGAAACAGCTCCCAAAGGGGAAGGGAAAGCACAAGGCAGAAACTGGCTTGAGTGCTGAGGAGAGTGAGTCTCAACTTTGGACTAAGTCTGACAGTGGTGACAATGCTGATGACCCAATTCTGAGCCCAATAAGTCATGGTATCAAAAGACATCACATTGATGGTAGGTCCAGTCACCATCTAAGTTTTATATCACTAACCTGATGGACAGTTCATGATTTGGACCCTGGGGAAGCTGGTCCTTCACATGCTGGTCCCTCAACTAGTATGACACCTGACACCATTGACCTCACCAATGGCCCCATGGATGTCACAGCCCCCAGTGATGAACTTCCCTTGCTACCTGCACCACCATTGACTCTTCCCTTGACTCCTATCTAAACCCATACTCAACTGGCCCCATCAAGTGCATTTACAATTGATACCTCTTTGACAAACCTGTGGAAAGGTAATCGTACCTTCCAATTTTGAGCCTACCAGCATCCCTCCCTCTCCTTGCATCTAGTTAATATTCATGCTTACCACATAATCTCATGTTCATCTCTTGGCATATATGATACCCAATGACTCAACTTTCTTTTTAGCACATACTACAGAGGAGATTCACATGGCCTGTGGACCTGGATGGGGCAGGTCAGTGAGTCTGTTCATGAGCTCACCACTGTCATTTGCCAAGGAATGGCTGGTACTCCATGGCAGCCTCAGGCCAATCTATGACTCAAGGTAGCTATGCTAGTGTACCCCATTCCATCACAACACCCTCACAGTCACAGCTGCCACATGGGCCTCCCAACTGAATCACACCCACACCCATCCCCCACCTGACACAGGCCTCCACCCCAGTCCTGCCAGTGGGCCCAACAGCCTGAGTCCCTGTGAATTGCATCACCACCACTGGCACCAGCCCAAGCCAGATGGCAAGCTGCCATGACTACCCCATCATCCCCCTTGCCAAGCAGCCACCACTCTCCAGGCTCAGGATTCCAAACATACCCATCAAGCTGTCAGATGGCTCACAACATCCAGAAGGGACTCTTGGCAGGACATCATCACCCATTGGTTCATCAGCAACCCCCCACACAGCCTGAGCATCCCATTGAAGAACTGGCCTGCAGACTGGCACCAGGGCCACAACTGCACCTTTGCCTCCAAATACAGCCAGCAGGCCATGATCACACTGGAGTTCATTGACATGTGAGTGCCCCTATCCAGCCCTCTCCTTGAGTAGCCTGCCTGCTCACTGATCTGCCACTGGCCCAACACTTCCCATGCACTCAACACAAACATTCAAAGTCCACTGCTGTATGACAGCTTCAAGTCTGACAAGGCTTGCTTCCTCACTGCCTACCCTGAGGCAGAAGAAGGGCACACACTAAGGCACAACTTGAGCACCAGCAGCTGGAGTCACAGGCCTGAAGTGCTGCTGGGCCACATGCAGCATCTACTGCTCCCACTCACCTTTCCACTCCATCAATATTTGACCCCAACCCATCATGTCTGAGCTTTAGTACTGCACCATAACCTACCACAACCTCCTTTAATCACATCTGCAGCTTGCTCACAGTTGCACTCCTGACCTTCACTGCTCCTGGCCATTGGCCCCTACTTGCTCTCCCACTATCCTTTCCTTTGTTCATCTTGTTTCTTCTTCTTTCATTTCTATTCTTTTTCTCTCCTGTTCTTTTGTTTTCTATCCTCACTTTCTTGCCCATCCTTTTGCATCTCTTTTCTGATCTCTCTCATCTCATCTAACTCATCTTGTGATAGGAATTCCCATTAGCATGCTCACACTTGTACTTGCTGCCATGTCCCTCATTTACTCACTTACTGTTACTGCTACCCTTACATTTGTGGCCCATGTGCATGCCCATTAATTGACACAGCTGCATGTCCCACACTGCTGCCCCATCCCTTTCCCATTAAGGCCAGGAGGCAGGGCCAGGGTTAAGATTAAGGTCACATGCCCCTGCCTTGTTCAGGAGCCATCAGCATGCATCAGGTTAGGGTTAAGATCACATGACCCAGCATGAGCCCACCTGTCACATGGGGCCTGCATTGCCACTGCACCACTTGTATATTTTCTGGGATAAGTCTATTTCAGATTTTTGTAAAAATACTGATGCAGTAGTGTACATACTTCTCTAGACACCCCCAGTAATGTGTAGACTTCCAGAGATCAAATAGTCAAAATACAAACAATTCTCAACTATGTAAATACATGGAATTGCAATACTCATACACCAGTAGACATAACTTAGAGATGACAGAAATGGACTTAACATAATCATATTACCTATGTAAAGAGAATCAAGTTAGTGGTAAGTCAAGGTCAAGAACATACATAGTATAGACTTACAAGGAGGAGACTTGAAGTAGTGATGAAGGAAAGCAGTGATGGAAGATGGAGTTGAGAAGGAGAGATGGTTGTGGTTGAGAAGATAGAGAGGGTTGGAAATGTGGATGGTTTAAATAGAACTGTGGTACAAACAATTGCAAATAAGGCCATGTGACCTGTGCAAGTACACCTATTTTTTTTTGTTCACACCACTGCTAGTGTACTGCCACAGGAAGTAACTGTAGAGTAATGGTGTGATAATGAAAGTTGTAGCCCTTAATTATGGGATCATGGGGGTATGATTACCTTCTCAAGAAGTGAAAATTTGCATGAGAAAAATGCAAAATACTCCAAAAGTCCTAAGTTTTTGCACACAAAATGTCACTGGATTGTGATGATATCATAAATAAGGTTGTAGCCCCTAGTGAGATGATCACAGTGGCACACTTTCCCATCATGATTCCCAAAAAATGGGCAAGATACAAGTAAAAGAAGTACAGTATATAACAGAAATCTATAACGAGATCTCAGTTGAGTGCATGAGCAGCAAACGTCTATATTTGCATTACCTATAATGAGATCTAAGGTAACGACATGAGCACAAAGTATATGAACATGGAACAAGACACTATACCCACCTCAGTCGAGTGCGCAAGTGGCAAACGTCTGAGGTGGTGTTACTACAGTAGCGAGTTAAGTACGCTATACAAAACAAAAGGGGTGAGACATGGGTGTTGAACCCAGTGTTGAAACTACAAGCACGGTCATAGCGCAAGTCCTTGTACCATTAATTTATATGTATGAAACATTTGAAGACAATAAAACAAAAGTTACTGCGCTGTATTGTCAGTGCTCAAGAACAACTAAGTATTGTGGTCTTGTAGACCCATAAACGGGAAGTGTTTCCCATGGTAAGGAAAAGTAGTGTCAATTAATGAACAAAGACTATGAGCGACTTGCCAAATCTAACACTCCCCCTCAAGTCAGACGTAGGCCGAGTTCAACTGCGAAATGCTTCACCTTCAGAGATGGCAGCGCCTTTGTTAACATATTGGCGATCATGTCTGCAGTCGGGCAATATATGAGGCGAATTTTGCCATTCTCTATGACCCAGTGAATGAAGTGAAAACAGATATCGATGTGTTTGGTGTGTGCGTGATACTGGTGGTCTTTGGTGAGCATGATGGCTGATTGATTATCAGAAAACAACATGGTTGGCTCGACAAATGGCTGAAAAAGCTCTCCAATGAGCAACCGAAGCCACAAGGCCTCCTTGGCCGCATGTGTGGCTGCCACATACTCGCT